TAGGAGAAAATTCAAGGAAGCCGCATACAATTCAGCCAAGCCAGCGTAGAAATACGCAACATATGGAAACCCATCATCAAGCGAAAAATGGCCAACTCCCACCAAAACGGTCATCTCCCACGAAACCAGTGAATTGGAAAATGGAAAGCAGGGATAAGTGAAAGTATTTGAACGACCTATAAATAGTCATCTCTCGGAGGAATCAGTCCAGTCATCACCCGAAGACGATTGTAGATACTAACAATCGAAACGTCGTGAACTAACGTGACTTGTAATCTCTCCACTTTTTATTTTCATTTCCTTTATTTTTATTTATTCAATTGTTCTATTTTTACTTGTATTTTATTTCACTATTATTTCATTTCAGGTTTATTTTGGTTAATATAATTGTTATTTTCAGCTATTCATTTTCAATTCTTCTTTTTTAGTTGTTTCAGGGATTCCAATCATTTTATACAGTAGACAATGGAAGTCCGAACTAGTAAAATTCATCATGAAACATTGTCAATCACCTTCAAACAAATATATTTGTATCTGTTCAGCTAGGCTCAATATTGTTCTGTCTATATACTCTGGTCTTGTCTCTAAGCATTATTTTTAGCTTATATTTGTTAATTTAATGTCCCATATACACGTTTTAATTTACTAGACTTTGCCAATAATATGTTCAGATCATGGGTAATGAAGCATATTTTGATTCAATTTGAAAATATAGGGCTTGACTACTGATTCATATGAGAAACTAACGAAGAAGCCATTCTATGGCGAAACACGTGTTGAGTTTTTGTAAAACTGTTTGGTGAAAATTTCACAATGAAGTGTTTTTTGAAAACGTTAGTTATGGATTTTCATCAAGTATCGGCCAATTCCATCATATATCTATGGGAAACGTTTCGAAATCTTGAAGAAACCATGAAAAAGTCGTTAAACTGAAGCAATACGTTTTTTTTTACTCAATGCTTGAAAAAACAGGTTACAAAATTTCCTCAAACGGTTTTAAAAAACATAAATCCACAAGAGATGTACAAATAATATTCTATTTTGAGCTATGTATAAATTAAGTCTATACTGTCTTCAATTTCTTTTTGACATTCAATTAATGTTATTTTTCTCATGTCTCTGGTTTCTCACAGTAAACCCAACTCTTGGCATAGTTCCAGATAACAGAAATCTAAAGAAATGCGGTCTGGGGACATTGCAGTTCCTTCAGAAACGTATCTATTGCAATTTCCTTGATAGACCAAGGGACGGTTCTAATGTGAGAAACCACCAATTCCGGAAGAAAGGAGTCAGAGAGATTTGTGCTCTATCATAAGATGAGAATCAATTGAAGTTCGAAAAAAATTAACAGGGTGTTTCATTAAATAAAAAAATAAGAAAAAAATTATCTCGAGTTTGATTTACCTCGATATGCAAACAGCACCTGTAATGATGAAGAGGAAATGAGAATACTCTCTTCTTAACTCTTCTTGGAGGATATTTGTTCACAATACATTCGACAGAATAAATCTTACCATAACTTCCAAAACATATCTGAAATAAATCACTCAAATAAAAATATACGGGGTGTACTATATAAAAAACAACTTTGGTAAAACACACATTTGTTGAACACCCTGTATTTTTAAAACATAGCTTCCAATTTTCCGACAATTTTTATTCGAGACATTTGTTTCTAATCTCAACTAGGGAAGCAACTATCGCCCATCCATGGATGGGCGATCCTGCACATCGTTGATCCACTCTGTGTATAAAGTCTTGTCCAGTTACAGACGTATTTTTGTCGAGTATACTGTATTGTATTGAATATACAGAGATTCATAATAATCGACTGAAAAACTTCTGAGACATAATCAAGACGTTGATTTTTTATTGAAATAATTGAATTGAATATTGAAACTTTGATAACCTATTCTCGAAAAATGATTCCAAGTACGAAAATATGTTAATGTGATTTATTTTTCATAATACATGGCAAGAAATCACCCCTTCAAACGTTTATTGATCTTAGAAAACTTTGCTGAAATTTAATTTTCCTCACTTGGACATGCCAAAGAAGAATAATGATTATAATGTTACAGCGATATGAAATTAACTGGCTTAACAGACAAACATAAATTATAATATACATTGAATTACACAAACGAAAAAATAATTTTGAAACCACAACTGTCATATGAACATGGATTTATACAAAAACCACATTTTCCTATCCAGTTTGTACTTGAAACATCCGTTATGGAATCCAATCAGATATCATTCACAGGATTGCTACACAATATCGTATACGAAAGAGGTCATGTTTCACTTACATGGAACACTGTCATCCTCAATGGCGGACATCCATGTTGCAAAATAAGACAAACATTACATCCAATTCGGATATTTTCGTGGATAAGCGAAGTTATCAACCGTTTCATTCATTGACTTATTGTATTAATTGCAGTGCATCTATATTTCAGCACACCGCAGTGTGTACAGCGAAAAACTTTTTTCTGAAGCTGGACAAAAATTAGTTTTCCTTCACTATAATTTGCCGTTAGTGCAGTATAAGTACTAATTAATTTTCTAAGTTGTAGAATTATTGTGTGATTACTGATTTCATTTCTTAATTGGTACTATCTAAATAAAGCAATTAATTACCTAAAAATATTTTTTTTACCAAGGAGTTCCACAAGGCCACCTTCTCAATAATATATACTGCTATGATATATACAATCATTAGTTGAAAGATAAGTATGAATTTAATAAAAAACCTTTACATCTTACAGTATGACACTGCCTTAGTTTCACACAACCGGACACTAGCTATTACAATAGAGGATGCAAAGCCTCATCGACAGGACAATATTCTGGTTCGATAAATGGCGATTGAGGTCAATCCCGGAAAAATTTCAATACATCATTTTTTATCACAGCGCTTCAGAAAAGCTATCAATCAATCAATCAAACTGTACTTTATTGTCCAAGAATAATTATTCTTATTGACAAAGTGAATAAATAACAATGAAGTGGATATCCACTGTGTCCAATACATATGAGACAAAAAATATGAAAATATAAAATGTAAAGATGAATAATTATTTATATACACATATATACACATATATATACACACACATATACATACACATACACATATATATACACACATATGTATAAATAAAATATCCATATAAAATGTCCATATAAATAAGCACAACCATGACAAATAGAATGATGACATTCACTCACATATATTCGAAACTAATTACAAAACAATATCTAGACATGAAGTTGATACCTATATCTTTATGCAAATATAAATGATTAAAAATGGTCATTGTAATATTCCTGCAGGTCATAATACGCTTTTGAAATGAGAAATACTTTTATCTCCTTCCTGTATTTTTTTTTATTTCCGATTGCTTTAAAATGTTCAGGCAAATGATTGTACATTTTTTTGCTTTCGTATATTATTGAATTTTTAATTTGAGTCGACCTAGGTATTGGCAGGGAGATATGGCAGTTATTTCTGGTGTGCCTGGGATTTAATGGGTTATCATTCGATAAATGTCGGTTGTGAATCAAGCATACAGTCTCCATAATGAAAAGGCATGTAAGCGTAAGAATTTGATGCTTGATGAATAGTGGTCTACAGTGATCCCTTGCTTTGGCCTTGTACAAATAACGGATTGCTCTCTTTTGTAGAATGAACACAGAATTCCATAAGGTTTTCCTACAAAAACCCCAAAAGGGTAGTCCGTATCTAATATGGGATTCTATGAGTGAAAAATATGTGTTTCTGCCAATAGCTGTACCAAGCTCGTTTGTCACTACTCTAATAGCATAACAGCCCGATGCTAGTCTTTTTTTCAAGGACGTTATATGTTCCACAAACCCTAACTTTCTGTCAATGTGTATACCCAGGAATTTAGTGCTCGTTTTGTTTTCTACTTGATGTGTTCCTAAGACCAAGTTTTCGAATTCGAATTTGAAGGTAATTATATTAGTTTTTTCCACATTGAAACAAAGATTATTTGAGTTACACCAAGATTTGATTTCGCTGAGTTCATTGGAAATAACTGTTTTTAGAACATCCACATTTTTTCCATGCCATAGGATAGTGGTATCGTCCGCAAATAATGTGAATCTTCCTACAATAAACATCAACAACGAAATGGTAAGAAACAGGCAATCAGTAAAATACTTGGGAGTTAACATTGACCACAAAATCACTTTGGGAGTCTGGCATTTGAAATAAGAGGAATCAAGACTAAAACTGCACTTCCCAAATATGCATACATAATTTATTCAAGTTGTCGTAATCCTGAGAACATACTACACAATCCCTCAAACGCACCGCTGTATGAAACTACAAAAGTGAAGCCTATAAAGGAGAGAAAATCAGACTTAGGAAACCGCTTTGCAAAAAACCAAACCAACTTGGAGACCCTGCAGGCATTATGTAAGAAAATATCTGAAAGTCAACCAACCAAATTCAAATACCGAGAAAAAACTATTTGGGAAAACATCAAATCATTCTCATAACTTATACTCTTTTTCTTTTTTTTACCACAAATCTAATGTACCTCAATTCTATTATGTAAGCATATGTAAAAATCACTGTAAATATTTAAAAATTATACACTGACTGAAGCATTTCGGTTGATGGCCCTTTGGTTATTCACCAATAAATGACATTTATTATTATTATTCATTTTTTTTAACCCAATATTCGGCCGGATAGGCGCTAGCTATCCAGTATCCGCTTCATCTCTAAAAGCCTCACAATATTGGTTCCTATTTCTTTCAAAAGTATATAGTTGATCACATTGTAAAAAGAAGAAAATGACATAAAATTGACATTAGTTGTTTTTGTTCCAAGCCACAGATATTACTATTAGATCCAAGCAACTGGGTATTGTAGTTAGTTTACAATACTTCTTGGTGCAGAGTTCATAAGCTCTGCGCTCTAGTCCTGCAGCGTAGTTTGGGTTATAAGAAAAAATAACACTCACCCAAAAGAGACTTCTCGTTCCCTTCCTGTTCCTGCTTCTCCTGCTCCGACTTGACCTTGCTCGGACTACTTGGGGGACTCAACGAAGACAAACTTCCGGATGCCACCGACAGATTTTCTCTGCTGTTCTCCTTGTCCTCACCAGCAAGCGGTGACTTCACCACGACGTTTTGTGGCAGATTCGATTCGGCGGCGACGTTATTGTCGTTTTCTACGCTGGCTTCTCTGCTGGCAATACGTTTGGGTTTGGCGAAGTTCTGGTTTGGTTTTGAAACGTCGGATATCAAGGAGTTCAGGTCATTGTCAGGTGAATTTGATACCAGCAGGCTGTTCTTCGGCTCGACAACGTCGATATCTTTTTTGATTTGTTTGCTAGATCTGACGAAGGTTTCGTAGGAACCAATGTCGGTGGTAGGAATGACCTGTAAAGATTGAAATAGCTGTGTAGCGTGGTACGAATTTTGAGCTGGAATTAAATTGGAATTTCAAATGAAACTGAGATTTCAAAATCTAATTTCAGAATGAAACTCTAAACTGAAAATTTTAAAGTTTAACTAAAAATTCCGCAATTCAAACCAGAAATATTAATCTTGAATTCGTAAATACAAAAATTTCAACCCCGAACCAAATTTTTTACCTCGAAAAAGTTATTTTAAACTTAAAATTCTCTCTTATCAATAAACTTTTTCAAACCTGATATCGAATTCTGCTTCAATTATCTGAGTATAAGGACTGCAAACTAAAAGTTCCTACTCATCGAATCACAAATTTCAAACTTGTCTCAGAATTTAAATCTTATGATTTTCTAGATAATATTGTCTTGAACTGAGTTTTGGCTTTCAACCTAAAATATCGATTACAACTTTATCTGTTTTGAAAATTAAATTTAAAACCAGATATTGAATCTTTAACTTGAAATTTCGACAATGCTTTGCGAATTTCGTTTTTGAATTGGGATTTCCAATTCTAACTTCTCCAATTTTCTCCTCTCTTTATCTCTTTTCCCTCTTTTCCATTTCTGTCCTCTTTTTTCTATCTCTTTCCTCGCTTCTCTCTCTATTATTTCTCCCCCTCTTCTTCCTAACCTCTTCTCTTACATTCTCTTTCAGTCTTCTGCATCTTTCCCCTCTCTCTCCAACCTATCTTTCATATTTTCTCTAACCTTCCCTCTTCTCTATCATTCTTTCTCGCGCGCTCTCTCTCTCTCTCTCTCCTGTCTCATACATCACAATTTCTTATGTTTCCTTTATCTACTATACTCTCTCATGATTTCTCTTTCATTTCTTCCTATTTTTTAGCACTCTCTTCCCTCGCTACCACTCTCTTTTGTCTTCTCTACCACTCTCTACATACTCTTTACCATTAAACTTTCTGTTTATTATCGCCTTTCCAAATTTACTCACCAGTTTCCCGTTTCAGCACCAGGATTTCTGGTGAAGTCTCTCCCATATCTCCTTCATTCCTTTTCAAAGTTTTTCTACCTTTTTCCTCACATTCGCTATTTTCCCTTTTCACTTCATTTTCAGGCTTGCTTTTTTCTCTCTCTCACACTGTCCTCTATCATTCATATCTTTCCATTCTCACTTATATCTTACATCTCTCTTTCTCCTCAATCCCTATCTTCTTCTACATTCATTATTCTCACTTTCTCTACTCTATACTTTCCTTCCGAGTTCTTCCTCACACTTGAGCTCAATTTATAGTTTCATTTTAAAGCATGCCAAAGCTACTTACCGAAGCCGGTCTCTCCTTCCGAACGACGTTCGGCCTTCTCGAAGCTTCTGTACGCACTGGAGGCGGAGGCGGCGACGTGGGCGGACTTTTCAGTCTGTTGCTGAAAGACGCGCTCCTAGTAGTCGTTTTCCCCCCGCTGGGAACCTCTCCCTGCCCGACGGTGTTGACCGCGAGCCGGACCTCGTTTCGGTTCGGGTCGCTGTTGTACCTGCTCGACCGCGTCTTCGAAAAGTGCGACGTCCAGTTCCGCTGTCGCTCTATCAGCTCCTTGCTGCTGAATTTTCGTTCGGGTTTTTCCGGCTTCTTCAGCAGCACGGGCTTGCCGTCGCTCTTGCCGTTTGTGTTTGTTTCGGCGAAACCGTTCGTCTTTTTGCCGAGCGAGTCGAGCGCGGGAACGCTGTTGCTGTAGTTGTCGAGCGCGCCGGTAGATGGAGACGGCGTTCGAGAGCCATGTTGCGATTTCGTGTCGCGCGTCTCGCTGCAGGCCGAACTCGCACGCGATCGTGCATCGAGGATGTTCGAAGCGCTCCTCGTAGATTGCAGCGGGATGACGACTTTGTCGCGCGGCTTGCTGTGGTGCTGCTCTTCGCCGAGCTTCTCGAACATTGCCCTCGCGTTGTTGAACCTAGTGACGTGCGATTCGGTTCGCATGACAGTGACGGTCGGCGCGTTGTTGTCAGCGTCGATTTTCTCCGAGCTGTGGCTGAGTCGCTGCGTTTTTCTGAGCGGTGCGATCAAGTCTTCTCGCGGCGCGGGCGTTTTCGCTTGAAAGATGTTCGCTATTTCCGAGACCTTTGATCCGCCAAAGCGCGGACCCTTTTTCTCTTCCATCGTATGCATTTGGGCTGGCTAACTGAAAACGAGAAATGACGTTAAGGATTATAAAGATAAAAACATGAGATTTCCTCCTTAGTTGTTGATTAATAAATATTTCAGTCAATAAATGAATCAATAAAAATGCAACTAACTACATCTATTGATCAGAGGCTCAGGCTTTTGTATTATATGTGACCAACAGTTTACTCTATGGTTAAACGATTGCAAAGAATACAAAGCCCATAGAAGCTCAAAACTGGCATTTTTGTATACCCTAAAATTTTTAGTACTTACTCTGACCGCCAGAGGGCGATCCTAGTACGATGTCAGCATTTAATGTGATTACCAAAAGAAATGAGTGGCAGTCGCTGACGTACATGCCGACTTCGATATGATCCGGCCGACTGATTGTCAGCAATGCTAGTTACTCAATTCTGTTGATACTCACATTAAATACTGCCATCGCCCTCTGCTGGTCACGGTAAGCATTAAAAAAATCAGGGTACACGAAAATGTCAGTTCTGAGCTTCTATTGGGTTTGTATTCTTTGACGACAGCATCTCACCTTTTATATAGACGGAGTAAATTATCCAATAATTCAAAGAAGACCCAAATTCAATTAGTACGATTGATTGATTGGGTCGATAGATCACTTGTGACAGTGTCCACTTTGCAAATTCATAAAAATTTATTTCTCAACTTGAGTTCCCTATAAAGAGGTTTTTGGTGATACCATTCAACGGGAAAGTGATTGTATGTAAATAGACTCCTGTAGTTAGTATTAGCAAATTTTATGAAACAATCATAAAATTTCAAAAGTTGCTGGGTAGACATCTTTCACAAGGTCTTACATTCTTTATGGCATCCTGTTATTTTGTTCAAAATAATTGGTCGTAACAAATAAAAAACTTTGTAGAAATCATTTTAATCTAACTCTTTTTTCTCAGTTGACTATGTTTTACGAAAGAAACAAATTATTGTCATCCTACGTGAATTTCAGTTGAGAATTGTTAATGCTATTGACAAGAAAAAAATGCGTTATGATCCTTTTTATAGAGTTCTCACATACTTTTGATTATGTTATGTTGGTTATGTTGTTATGTTACGAATTGTACTATCTAAGCTTTATAGATCAGGTGTGTACTTTTTAAACTACTTTTAAAAAAACGTTTTTGATTGAAGTTTTTATTAATTCTTTCCTATCTTTTCTAAACAAAAACATCTCCTAACAACACCTAACATACTCCATTTGAAGGAAATTGTAGGGCACTACATTACACCCCCCCTTAAAAAAAATATTAAACACGAAAATGAACTCTTTTTCCAAAGCGGGTTACACAATTTTATTTTTCCGGATTTTCATTTTGATTTTCAGATTTCTTCTTGAGAATTCCATTTGGTGTATTTGGAAATTTTGCATTTTCAGGTGAATTTTCATTTGATGATTCTATAAAAGGTGACACTAATTCACAAAATAATCAATGGTAGCATTAATTTTCCAAAACTTATAAAACTTATAACGTTAAATGTGAATGCAAAGAGAACAAGATATACAGATATATCCAAAGTACATTTCCATCAAACCGACCATGGCAAGAATGTGTCTATAGGTAGAATTTTTAGACAGTGTGGAATTAAAACTTTTAAATCATTTTCTGGAATCGTTAAAAAAGACTGAAAATATTGTAATTCATAATTGTCCCTACATATATTATACTATGATATATTATTTTTACAGAACATATGTCAAATTTGTTGGCAATGACGTAAATAAATAAATAAACATAAAAAGGAATGTCACATATCAATATGTAAATCAGATCAAATACCACTCATTCTCAACAGAAGACATTTCCGTCATTTACTTGATAAATGTGATAAATTTGCAAGTAAAATCCATATCACCGTTACATTTTTTGGAATCGAAAGATATTTTCTTTCAGATATCAGTCAGCCCACATTTCCATTTGAAAATATATTTAGTGGAGAGTACCTTTCTCAGAGGGTTGTCAGTTTTGCAATGGTTATTGGGTCTCCATTGCAAATAAACAATCAATCAAACCTGTGCTTTAATCTACCTTACAGTTATGCCTGCGTTAAATTTTCGATAGTCCACCCTGTATATTTTTTTAATTCATTCCTTTTAGATAAAACATGGGGCTTGTTTGAATTGAAAGGGGGGATAATTTTTAGGAGAGAGTATTCGTTTATATCTGAAAGAAACGTATGTACATGACCTATGCATCTTTGTTAATAGTTTATTTTGAACTTGGTTGCTTTCTTTCTTCGGACGTTTCCCAGGTTTTTTTGTACAAAGATGGAGAAAAAGAAAGTCGAAAAGCTTCTTTATTTGTTGATAAGTGGAATATTATAAACAATATATTGGTACAAAGAAACAGTAAGTATAGTTTTTATATTTAGGTTTCAGAATTACAAATAATTTAGATAATTTTAGAGGTATATTAAAAATTGCTGGTGAACGCCACTGGCAGTCGTATATTTTTACAACCCAAGTCAATCCCGAACAGATAAGTTTGTTTATGAATCAAACGTCGATGCCATTGTACTATTCTCACAACCGGAAATAAAAATTGTACTCTCTTTGATTCCAAATTGGAAATTTCATAACAAAAACAATGTGACCTCAGCATTGACATTTCTAGTGGGTATAGAGCCATGGCCTTTGTAGCTCAAACCTCCGGCCCCTCCTTTTTTATGATTCTACTAATAATTAATGCAATTCATTGATAACTTATTATGAATAAAGATATGAATAAAATATATCTTTCTGTAAAAATCTTATCTCTTTACGTGAATAATCACCTGAGTTTACGAAAACGCAGACTGAATTTGCATATCGCAAATATATTTTCTGGTTTGCGTATTTGAAACACCACTAACCTTTTACACAAACTCAAAATTTATTCGCTGCACGGCCATAACCGGTGAATATTCATTAAAGTTGAAGGGGTTCCTGCTTCCAGCCATTTATGTTTTTAAAACTACAAACCACACATAACACTTGTTTTCGATAAAGTGACAAGGGAATAACCGTAGCACAACAGTTTAATTCGTTAAAACGCGTTATATCACTTTCAGCAAACAATTCAACCTGAACAAGAATTGAAAAATTCTCTGCCGTCCTGAAAATATCAAACACATCACGTCGGGTTCTATCAGAATTTTCTGTTTCTGGTACCTCTTCTTCTCCCTTCACCACCACTTTCTTGACAGCATTTTGGTTGACAGCTTGGTATGTAATGCGATGTTGTCAACAATAAAAAATAAATTCAGATCTTCAATGCAGTACAATATATGAAAAAATGTAGCAATTGGCTTATTTCAAGTAATTGATAAAGGTCACAGAAATGTACGAGAGTGATTCCTCATATCGCTTCTTTCAAAAAATAATAAACTTGAAAATATCTACAACATGATTTGACCTTAAATTTGAATAACATCCCCAAACGACAGCGACACTTGAGGTTCTTTTATGAATATTCACAATAACTTTATCGCAATCATGATTGAATCATCAATGAGGAATTACTAACAGTATTAGAGAAGTTACTTCTATATTATTATATACGATAACAACATTAAACAATCACTGTAAAGCACGCCGGATACTTCAATTTTGACAACTGAAAGGCTCTCTTTGCGAAAAATTGGAACTTAGGGTATTGCGATCCATTTTTTCATGTTAGGGGTAATCAAACTAGAATATTTTAATACAGAGAGATACATGGGTGTTTTTTTTATTGAAAAATCATCATAATTATGTCAATTTATTTATCTGACAGTTTTAAAATAAATTTTATAGATGATTCATTATTTATGTTTTTTTTTAATTTTTATATTTTATATTTAACTCCGATTTCATTATACCTCTTATTGCCCTTTTGTGCTAAGGGACTTTGTGCTACTGGCATTGCTTTCTATAATAATTTACCATTTATCAATGTTGACTGAATTTCTGCTAAAGATAATGATTCATTTTCAGAAAAATTGGTACCTATTCTTGACACATTCACAGATCTGCGAACTCCACACAAGAAGTTTGCTGAAACTAACACTTTGATCTCTGTGACCCATTTGTTTAAATCACCTATGAATGATTGTAGTATAAATTTAAGACTTTAGGATTCAAGAATTACGTATAGACAGAACTGCTAGTGATTCAAGAATAGGTACCCAAACCCGCCAGATCTACGTTATTTTATCAAAGCTTATATTTTAGTAATGTATAGAGTAATATGTATTTCAAAATGTATTTGCTTAAAAGTGGAATCCTTTTATGAGGCAATTAATTTTCAACTTCCTAACGTTAGGTCATTACTAGTAATAAACAATATCATTCTTGGAATTGGGAAACAGTGCGAGATTTATATCAGGCACCTAATTTTAATCTATTTTCGACTATTCGCATCAAAAACGACTGTTCGTGACATATTCTGAGGAATCAGTCCTGACTTTGGATTGCTAAAATGCGATCTAATTTTTTTTTATCGTAAAAATAAATTTTCTCTATTTATTGTCATAATAATAGCTTTGTTGAAATTACTTTGTACGTCTGACGATTATAAGTTATTGGAGTATTATCATGTTCGAAAAACAAAAGATGTGAACTCCAAATGCTCGAAAATGAATAGAATCAGAATCATTTATTTCATCCAAAGGATATTTAACTCCGATTTCATTATACCTCTTATTGCCCTTTTGTGCTAAGGGACTTTGTGCTACTGGCATTGCTTTCTATAATAATTTACTATTTATCAATGTTGACTGAATGTCTGCTAAAGATAAATTTCGTAAGCGGATTCTATCAGCAACATTTCGAATACAGCGAATTTAGCAGATTTTTGTGTTAATTTTATGATCATACTGGGTACATTTTCCTACTGATGGAGCTTGTCTTCCATAGTCATTCCTAAAAACTTCACAAGACATATTTCGATTAAATTATATATTGTTTATCGATAGCCCATTGTTTGGTATGAAAGATCATATATTCTGCTTTTCTAATATTAAGGAACAGATGATGACAGAAAACCATTTCCCCATATTACGATTGACTACCATACTTGCAGGCAAAATTATAGCCTACTAACACACAAAACTGCGGAAGCGCTAAAGGGCCACATATTTTTATTATTTGTTTCTTGAAAACTGCAACATTAATTTCGAGGTTGAAGTCGAAATTTTGAGATTGAAGTAGTAATTTCCAAAAACAATACAAATATATGACCTCTCTGCGCTTTTCGAATTATAATTATATGCAAACTCCTTGTCATTTATTATCGTAGGTCAATCCTGAAAATAAGCTGTGATAAATTTGAGAGAAGAATATGAAGAAAAGAAGATCAATGTTTCAACATTGCACCTCAACGATAGAAATTTATCTTTTTCTATTAATTTCGGTAAAAGTGGAAGTTCCTTTGCTGCCATTAGATAAAATTTAGTTTCGTGTATTTAAATGAAAATTTTTAACATCGGCAACATTGCATAGCTAGCGTTTTGGAGCAATAACCGGAGTGTTTGATACGACGCATGAGCAAACGCCCGGCAAATCTTTCACCAATGAAATGTTCAATTTTTGGCGGCAACGTTAAATTGCGGTCATTTCTACTATTGTAGTGTCGAAGGCCGATTAGTAGAATGAACTAAAGCACACATAGAAATCCAAGTCTTCATGTAAATTAGAAGGATTATATACCGAATAGTTAGATTCGAAAGTAATTTCCTTTTGTGATTCAATGGCATTGTGTGTAAAGTGTTTTAGTGATTAAAGACCAAGAACATATGCGAGAAGTAAACGTTTTTTATTGGAAAGAGAAAACTTTGGTGGTTTTATTCACAGAGACCAAAGTTTGGATGACAACTTTTTCAAATCACATAATTTTACGAAAAGTACTCTGCTGCTACTTACTTATGATGAGAAAATAGTAATTTTTAGAGAGTCTAGTTTTGATTTTATGGTTCATAAACATGCACATCTATTAGTGCTGTATTTTTATCGGATATTTTTCAAAATACAATATTATTATATGAATTTACTATTTTCCAAATAGATGTTTGAATAACGTTGCTGGGTATTTTGTATGGAAGTTCTTCGATAGGTTTGGATAATCAGAAAAATGTGACGCAATATCGTTGGAAAGCTTTAATCTCCCTGAAAATGTATTGAAACTATTCTAGCCGTTATTAATCAATCACCTTGAAGGAAGGTTCAGTAGTTGAAAAATAAAGCTAGGATGAGGACTACTATTGGTAGCTTATAGAACAGATCATTCACAAGAATAACTTTCTGAATGAAAGCAGAAAAAAAAATAGCTTCTCATTCAATAACATAAAGTTTCATGAATTTATTCAAAAACATCAAGTTGAACTATATAGAATAAAAGTTGAGAACGCCTGAAAATAAATGGATCCAAAGGAAGACTGCAAGTCTTCCTTTCCTAACAAAAACTTCAGGATAAAACAACGCAATTCTTAGCCGTTTCTTTCATAGGAAAAATTATAAAATATTATTTTAATATTAGAATATTATATTGAATTTATGCAGTAACAGATCGGGGCACAATAGAAGTTCGCCCTTTCTACAACCTGTATAAAGTTCTCTATTGATTTTTTTATTTTTTCAGATCATGGAAGGTGAGAAAAATCCTTTTCAAGGACAAATATTAATTTTAATTTTCATCTCAACTGACATTTAACATGTGTAGTATGAAAACATTCAAATAACTACTGAATACAGCAGAATTGAGAATTCAAGAAAATAGTATAATCATTTAAAGTTTTGAATACCATTTTTTTCCTATGAATCTATGACTTTTTTTCAAAGTAAGGCTCAAGTCACCATATCTTATATTAAAACTTACTTCATAAAATTTGAAGACTTATTTATTATAGAAATATATTATACAAATAAAGTAACATATTACTCAATTAAATTTCAGCTAATTAAAAAAAATTGTTTGAAAAATACACCAGAAATGACAAATATTGGTAATTACATCCATCACAATATTAATTTTACAACCATGCTTTAAAAATAACATGAAAAACGAATCGATTTCAATAAAAGTAATCAAAAGAAAACAATAGGATAAATTCCCTATAAAAGAAAATCATTCAATGTCTATCTCTGTAGCGATGACGACTCCTGCTCCTATTTCTACTGTTTCTAGACACTCTGGAGACCCTGGAAACTCTGGATTCCCTGGACCTCTCACTCGTTCGCCATATAAACTCGTCCACAGAACGATCATAGGAACGCTTATCAGAGTACGAAGTAACCCTCGGAGAAGGATAGTCTGGTAGGGGTAGTCCATCATAATAACGGGGAGGAGGCAGACCATCAAAAGGCGAAGCACCGTACAAACTCGGGGGAGGAACATACGGCAGTGGGGGCAGCTGATGCTGCATACTCCGCATATAGTTAGCAACATAAGCTTCAGCTGCGTCCGCAGTGGGTGGCCTGTTCAGGTCTCTTTCGTAAAACATGGAGTATCTGTCTCTAGGTCTAGGCGAGTTTGAACGCCTGTAAGAGCTGGAAGAAGAAGTCAGTCCTCTTGATAAAAAATACTTTCTTCTTGAGTAGGACGACCCTCGTCCCCTGTGCCCGAAAGATGATGTTCTAGCTGCTATTGGCATTCTGGACTTTGGATGTCTGTGACCGTCACGACCACGCAGGTTGTTCTTCTTAGAGGCTTCCTTAGACAATCTCAAGATGGGGGTAATTTCGATACCATCATCTTCAGGAAATAATCGGCACAACTCTTCTGCTACTCTGGGTTCTATTTCTTGACCGTCTCGGCCTATTTTGACTGGTTTACCATCATTCCATGGATTATACAGGTGCATGGTATTTGAGAAAGCTAACTCCTTCCTGCAAATCCAATCCACTTTGAATACTCCGCCCAGGGCTTTTGCTGACAGGCCTGGAGGAAGAACCCAAGATATTGGAGAGCCATCATGTCTAGATTCGCCGTGTAATCTGGCAAATCCAGCAAATTTACCACTCTCTTTCACTGAGAAAATAAGTAATACATTTCTAGATTCCCTGTAAGCTTTATTCAAATTGGCTTCATTCTGGGGCAATGTTGACCAGACTCCTTTAGCTTTTGAAAGGATTATGTTTTCGGCATTATTTGATTTTATCACAAAGAAGCGGGTATCTCGAAATAAATAGTTCAACTTGGTCAAGTAATCGTAGGACTTACTTTTGTTGTCTTTGGATCGAGGTCTTTTCGTGACTGGGGAAGGGCTCTTGTCTTTAGAACGGGCTCTTTTATGCCGGGATCGACGGCCTTTTCTCGAAGAATTTGTGCTCACTGAGCTTATGCTTGGAGCTGATGAGCTTTCTGAACTTGATGAAGACACGTCACTTTCGTAATTTACCTCATCGAGCTTTATATCATCGCTCATATCCAAGCTCAAGTTCAACTTTTCAGCGTCTATACTGCCATTCTTATTAGAATTTCTAGAGTCCATTATCATACCCAAATAAAATGAATTTGTGTAATGTATAATTTTAATTGACGATTATACACATCATTACACTGGGTTTTATGAAAGAATCCAGGATAATTTACAATTTTCCACTTTTTTCGATGATTCAATAAAAGATATAACTTTTAACCAAACAAAACAGTAAATATGTTGGCAACACTATTTCTATTTGAGGTTTGAGTTTGATGATTGATGAAGCATGAAAGTTGTCAGGTATGCCATAGCACCACAGAGCTCATGAACTTCACAGAACTCAGAAAAATAAACTTTCAAAATATAATTTAGTTCTGTGATAAACTTTTATCTCAGGTCAAGAAGGCTCTTTTTCAAATGGTAACAAAGAAGGCATCATTTTGTCAATGAGAATGTGTCATGAAATCATTTCTGAAGATGATATGTGCTGACAAAAGCCAAAAATTTCACCAATAGATAATTTTTCAAAGAATACTTGAGCTGGATCAATTTTCCCAATACGACAAATTACAACTAAAAAACGATCTGATCCTAAAGTTGATTTCTGAGCTGACCAACCACATTTTTTTCTTGCTCTTGTGAATACCTAACATAGAGCAGATGTATCTGAGATAATAAATCTGCGTTCGATATCGAACGCTTGCCGAGCGAGGCACGTTAATCGTGCGCACCGATTTTATTAAACTAACATACCTAAGATATCACGCACCATAGAGATAAAATTATATGCTGAACATTATAATTTTATTTCTATGTTTCTGCAATTCATAGTGTCAGAAAAAAACATACATATAAAGTGAGTCTTTAACATTTACAAATTTATATATAAGTTACACGGTGTTCTCACATATCAGATCGGAATAGTAATAGTGAATAGTGCTATTTTGATCTTCCAAAATATTTACAAACTTCATGAAAATTTACAGGAGAAAAGCTAACTTTAGTCAAAGTTGGATAACTTCATCATAAAATATTAGTTTATGAGTTCTGAGTTTATGAGATGATACGCTGAAAACGAGAATTGTGCACAGTTTCAACTTAATTGTCCCCGAACAAAACATGTTTTGTCCAATACCTTTATGGTATTGAAAGGAGGACCATACTCATGTAACTCAAAAGCATTACTCTGGATTCTGGCTGGCAACTGCTTTTTTTTAGATCCACAGAGGAGAGTGGTGCTTCTGTATGTTCCTAAAACTGTACAGAAGATACATGGTCCACAAAAATATATAACATTATCCCCCTTTTTTCCACAATCCACACATGCAACTGCGAATTTACAGTTATAATAGTAATTTGATAAATCGTGACTAGCTCTGTAAACAGCAAACCGTTCTGGTAAATCCTTAGACAATGGTTCTGGCATAAAACTGTGTCCGAAGAATATTTTGCTCCTGACATGTAGGTACATTTTGCCCTCTACAAAAAAGATGTCGGCACGTTCCATTTATTATTGTCAATCAAAAATATGATTGCTAATAAAATGAAATGAAATCTAACTTGTAACCAAACCTACCCAATGCAAGATACAATTAAAAGAACTAGATTTTGAAAACCGTTAGTCGTTGCCGAAACTTCGAAATATAACTTTCGTCCTCGCAGTAAACGCACATACCAATGATGAAGTCATCCGTAGTAGTAGACTAAACGTTTGGTACATCAGGTTCCATTCGACTTCGGCGTACCAGCTCGGATTTTGTTCTTTTTGATTATGAATTTCAAGTTCAAAAATAAAAATTACAAAATTTTAGTAAATATCTCGAGGTTAGATTACGTTCTCATTGAGTTAGTTTAGTTTGAGTTAAAAAAATCGATAGTTTAGTAAATCTCTACGTATGTGGTGAAATAAACCAGATTTACCGTTGAACCTACCTTATACAATACATACTCTTATTTGAACCAAGCTTAAAACTTGTATACGTATGCGTATACGGGTTCGCAATTCGGACGATTATAAGAAGGTTCAAAATAGATACACATCTGATTTTTGAGAGTAGACTCGCTCAAAACTTTCAAAGTATCAACTGTGTGACTACTTTTGACTGTACGAAAACTGTTCAGACAGCGAACCCGAATACGACTAATGAATGGTGAATGAATGATCGATATGGCTACTGCGCCTTAACGTAAGCAAAAGCGATTAATAGAGAGAGAGAGAGAATATATAGGTGTTCTGTGGACCAATGTTCTGATATTGTCTAAATCCTTAGACAATGGTTCTGACATGACAATGGTTCTGACATTGTTCTGAGCTATCATTGTTTGCGTCCTGTGTTTTACTTGAAAAGATTTCTTTAAATGGATGGAGTCTCTGAGACGTTTATTTGAGCTACTAACCACCAGATGGCGAAGAAACAATGAAATAATCGAATTATAATTTAACCTATGACTAGAAATTGATAAGCAATGCATAAGCAATGTCGAAAAAATTAATATGTAGACTGTAGCTATAGATTGACAATAATTGTAAGCTCTTAGGTAATTATGAATAGCGCGGATGGTAGGCATAGAAACCATTTCTATTTATAGAAGAGAGAAAGAAGCTATTGGGAACTTAATTTTAATAACTTCAGTTTCGTTTAGAATTATGTTTACAGAACTGCTGTTGATATTTCACCCTATGGAAATTCCCGTTCACACCCATCAGCTGTAAGGGTATAAACCTCAGATCAGAACATCTGTTAGTAATTTAATTGTGAAGCAGACAGTGGCGTACTTTTCTAGATATTAATTATTTCGGGAATGGATGAATGCATATTTAGTGAAATAATTTTGCTTTACTTCTTCGTGAAAAGAAATTTTTATGAGATTTGCCATGAAAAACAACTCATTCAACCTCTGATATTCTGGATCTGAAAAAAAGATTAGTCTAGTTCCCCAAAATAGAAAACTTTTGTCCAATTTAACCGACCTACTCGTATATCTCACCGTTTTTTGAGATAGCTGAAAAAACGGACTGTATCTTACAAAATAAGTAACAGGTTGAATCTGAGTAAACAATAACGAATAAAAATATTACAAGTCTTTCAAACTCAAAAGCTTTTTCTGAAAAATAACATAAATACCGACTTAGCCCCTTCTCTTCCTGTACTTTTCTTTTGTAAGAATCGTTAAAGCTAGAATGTATACCCTACTCAAAATATTTATACAATAATGATCAATGTTTGATTATTGCAAGGATAAAAACAGTTGAAACGTTTGTGTTGAGAATGTATCTAGTTGAAGCTGAATTAATTCTGCTACATCAATTGGTTGGCGGGCTTGTGAATGGCCTAGGTTTCTCGGAAAGTTATTAATATATCTTATACCCAGAATACGAATCTAATAATAATGGAATTTGGAGCCGCAGACACCAAAAATGAACTTTTGTACCATTCTAGTTAGATGGTACTCCTGTTCTATCATCACAGTTCATTATTCAACTTGGCTTTTACATGAAAACTTGATAATTCAGTATTACTTGTACACAACTGTTGTAATAACGTGTTGTGAATCTAATACGCTGAAACAAATGAATGAAAAAGCAGCAAATCTGGAATAGAAGAGCATGTTTAGACTCATCAACATAACATTAAGTATTCACAAGCTGAGATCATCCACAGGGAGGAACACTGGTTTAAGAGGAAGTTCAAAGAAGCTGCATATATGTTTTCCAACGATATATTCAGCCAAGCTAGCGGAGAGATACACAATATATGAAAAGCATTAATCAACCGGAAAAACGGTCAACTCCCACTAAACCGGTGAGGCGGGAGAGGGAAGAGGGGACAGGTGAAAACGCTCGAATGACCTATGAATAGTCATCTCTCGGAGGAATAGCCCAGTCATCACCCGAAGTCGATTGTGAATGCTAAAAATCGAAACGTCGTGAAGTAACTTTGTTTTTAATTTTTATTTGTTCAATTTTTAATTTTTTTAAATTTTTTGATTATTTTTAGTTTATTGTAATTCAATTTCACGGTTTATTGATCAATATAAGTGTTATTTTCAGCTATACATTTTTATTTTTTTATTTTTTTTTTGTTCTTTCAGAGATTTCAAATCATATTATATTAGACAATGGCCGAAGTAATAAAATTCACCATGAAACATTGTCCACCACTTTCCAACAAACAAATTGGATCCACATTATCCTTCGTATCCTAAGTGAATATTTTACTTTATCTCTAGAAATCAGCGAATCATCTTCATTGCATGAATCAGAATATGTATAATATCCACAAATTAACATCAGGAATGTTGAGTATCCAACACCAGCAAAAAATAACGTCTCGATTATCAATATCCACGTTACTTGTTGTGAAATCTTTCTTTATTTTTCATCACTAATTGTGACAGTCATTGCTGTTGCAATAACTCATAATGTTCTTTGAAGTTTTTGCACTTTTCCTTAGTAGTGTTAATTTATGTCAAAGGTTGAAGTCCCTTGCGAACTTAGTTAATAGTTTCTGTTAACCACTGTACTTGTGATGTACTGTTTAGAAACTTTGGTGTAATAATGAATATTAATGGAGTTTTTTCCCAACACCAAAACGTTATTTCAACACCTCGGCACGTGTTTCGATCACCAAGTGATCATCTTCAAGAGGAAGATCAAACTAACCTAACCACCGTGTTGTAAGGTGAAACAATGTTTACACAAAATGTCATGTACAGTTTGGATGATAAACATCAATTTATGTAAATTGATGACATGAGTAGATTGAACTCATTCGTGACATAAAGTCGTAATTTTATGAATTAATCGAGTGCTCATTCTTATAATGTTATTCAGTTTTGGTGCTGAAGGGGCGATAAGACAAATGACTTACGACGAAACATCGAAAGTCCACCAGTCAGGATAAGAGTGTTCCATGTAAGTGACATTTTACCTCTTCCATTTACTGTATTGTGTAGCAATCCTTTGAATGATATCTGATCCAATTTCTCTCATTATCCACCTGTAAGTTACAGTTGAATGTCAGTTACAGTCTGTAATACATTGGTGTTCGACATTTTCGAAATTTGATTAATTTCATATGGAAAACATATGTGGCTCTTCCACACCGTCGTAGATACGCCTATGGAATAGCTACTCGACAGTAATTTATTACTCTCATTTCCAAAGAGACTAAAGTGAATATTGCCCTGAAATGATGATATCAGAGCTAACAATCCTCGACAGTTTTTCTCGTGACAAATGACGGTTTTTCCAATGCGACATGAAGT